GTCAGACACATAACCGACTGAGCCACCCAGGTGCCCCAGAAATTTGAGGTTTTCATCCACCCATTCCCAGTTCCCACTGATGTGAGGTCACTCTTTGGGGTAGCTTGCCTGATCATCTAGGGGTTAGCTCTTAAGTGACCCTGGTAGAATCTTTAACAAAAAAGACTTAGTAGATACAATATTGTTGAAGCATATAGAGAGTACTTTAGAATAAAATTACTAATTATAGGTCATTATTATATTTGTATTCTATTGCTATTGTAATAAACTGATGCAAATTTAAAGGCTTAAATAATATAAATTTATTATCTTAGGGATCTGTAGCCTATAGATCCCTAAGATAATAGAAGTCCAGCACAGTTCCCACTGAGCTAAAATCAAAGTATCAACAACAGTACATTCTTTTTTGGAGGAGGGGAGAATATTTTGATTGTCTTCTCCAGATTTCAGAAACTGTCTACAATCCTTAGTTCATGGCCCCATTTTTCCATCTTTAAAGCCATTATGTTGTATCTCTCTGACCATTTCTCCATAGTCCTATCTCCTTCTTGTCTTTAAAGGACCCGTGTGATTAGATTGGTTCCACCTGGATAATCCAGGGTACTCTCCCACCTCAAGATTCTTAACCTTAATCATATCTGCAAAGTCCCTTTTTCCATATAATGTAACATATTTACACATTCTGGAGATTGGGACATGACCATCTTTGGAGGGCCATTATTCCGCTTACCACAATTATATAAGAATTTTTACAATATTCTTTTTTTAAATTTTTTAAACGTTTATTTATTATTAAGAGACAGAGAGAGAGAGAGACAGAGCATGAGCATGGGAGGGGCAGAGAGAGGAGGAGACACAGAATCCGAAGCAGGCTCCAGGCTCTGAACCGTCAGCAGGGCTCGAATTTACAAACCACGAGATTATGACCTGAGCCCAAGTCAGACACTTAACCGACTGAGCCACCCATGCTCCCCTACAATATTCTTATTAATTGATTTGATCAGCATAAAGCGTAAGAATATATGAACAACTTTTGCAATGTTTGTTTACTTTTGACAGAGAGAGAGAGAGAGAGAGAGAGAGAGAGACAGACAGAGCATGAGTGGGGGAGGGGCAGAGAGAGGGAGACACAGAATCTGAAACAGGCTCCAGGCTCTGAGCTGTTGGCACAGAGCCCCACTCAGGGCTCAAACTCACGGGCCACGAGATCATGACCTGAGCTGAAGTTGGAGGCTTAACCGACTGAGCCACCCAGGTGCTCCTAGAATACCTCTTTAGACTGCAAGTGAAGTACCAACAATCTACCCTTCCTGACAGGAGAACGAGCATTTAAGCATACCTCTACCAAAGCCTAGGCTGCCCTTCCCCAATTCCCCCATCCCAACACAAAGGACCTTTAGACACACTAATAGGTAGACAAATCCATTGACCCAATATAGATATATCATCAGCAATTATGAGTGATTCTGCTTTCTCATCTGGACACAGCATCCAGAAACTCTAAAACAAAGATGTTAGTTCTTCTATGCTACTGCAGGACTCCAGAACCTGAAAGGTTTTATTCTATGTCATCACTCCAATCAATTATTTATTGGCATCTTCAGGAACTATGGTAAGCAGAGAGATCAAATGGTAAGCAAGACAGATCCTCATAAAGTTTCCTTTCTGGTAAGAAGATATATAGTTAAACTAGCCATTTTTTAAAAAACTAAATTAGGTACTATGATAGGAGAACTTAATAGAAGAGCTAACCTAATCTCTAATGGGTCAGAAAGAGCTTTGTTGAGGACAGGACATTCCGGCAAGGAAGACGGAAAGTGAGAGTGTCCCAGGCAGCTACCACGTGAACGCCCATGGTTTTCCCTTTCCCTTTCTCTTCCTTCAGTATTGTTAACTGCCAGGGCTTCTGCTGCCCACTGAGCCAGGTAGGATGCCTCAGTCTGACCTCTGCTTCTGCTCCACCATCAAGAACACCTCAAGACTCAACTCATGATCCCAAACTTAATCATCTTTTTCCGGGCTAAGTGTAATTGCAATTTAAATAGTCTTCAAAAATATTACACTATGATTTGTCATTGGGGGAAAAAAAAGTATTGTATATACAGAAAGGCATAAAAATAATGCAATAGAATGTAAATTTGATACAAGGAAGGCAAAACTTGTAGTTGGATCGATTATTCCAAGTCTTATTTTGTTGCAAAACAACAGCCAAGTGCTGTAATATCCCTACAAAAGTAAGATATTGATATGTCACTGAAATTAGGTTACATTATTTTACTGACATTCTTGTGAAATGATCATCACTTGTCAAGCATTGTGATTAAAGGCAAGAGAAATCCCAAATCGCTTGATGTAGATAAAAGATATTTCACTGCAATCCAAGGGTGGTATGATCAATTCATGCCTTCCACAGAACTGTCAGATTAGGGCATTGTGTCATAGTCTCAAGGTACACAAAATAATAGTGTGTCTTAACAATCATAGCCTCTTCAAATTGATAAAATACAATAGTATTAAAACCAGGCTTTGTTGTTGACAGAAAAGAAATTTTTTAAAAAAATTTTTAGCCTCCTTTAGTATTCCAAGATTCAAACTTGGTGCCCTAGATCATGAGCTAATTACATGTTTTACTAAAACACGTAAAGAGGAAATAGAAAGTCTATCCCTCCTTTAAAAGCACTGTGAAAAGAGAAAGATATGGCTGTAGGAAGAACAGGTGGTAAAAATGTATATAGTGATCACTCCCCTCCTAGTAAAAATCCTAAAGAGAGATGTGTTAGCTTAAGAAGGGAGGTGAGGGCATGGTATGAGGGACTTTCCCCCACTTCTAAAAACAGTAGTCTGAAAGGAAATCCCCATAATGGTTGCAGTATGGTTAAACCAAAGGAAATTCTGAATCCAAGGCCTCCCTCTGCGGCCATGTGATATGGGAGCTACCAAAAGTTTCAAAATTTTCCATTTGGTTTTGGGGCACCTGGATAGCTCTGTCGGTTGAGCTTCTGACTCTGGTTCAGGTCATGATCTTGTGGTCCATGAGTTCGCATCGGGCTTGCTGCTGTCAGCACAGAGCCTGCTTCAGATCCTCTGTCCCCCTTCCCCTCTCTCTCTGCCCCAACCCCACTGGCACTCACTCTCTCTCTCTCAAAAATAAATAAACCTTAAAAATATATACCTTTAACAAAAAAAGTTTCCATTTGCTTTAGAAAAGTAAATGGTGCATGCAGGCAAGCCTATGGTAGTTGTCTTAATAAGGCCAGGTAACCCTGTAGCTTGGAGCAGAAGGGTAGATATTCCTAACTTGGGTCCAATTAGGAGTCACAGCCAGATATCTGAACTCAACACACCAGGGAGGACCATAGAGCCCTATGTGAGCAAAAAGAAGAGATCGAGAGTTTACCAGCCGCTGAGTTAAGCCACAGATGTGTTAGGATGAGCAGTGGCCAGAAATAAAAGGGCATTATCTCTACATAGATTGGTGAGGATTAAAGAGAAGCCCGTGGGCACCATGTAGACCCAAGGCCTGTAAGTACCTCCATATACATAGTTACCAGCTTGTGGAAGAGAAGGGAAAAGAGAGGAAATTTGGGAAGGGAGGGAGGGAGGGAGGGAGAAAGGAAGGAAGGAAGGAAGGAAGTGAAAAGAAAGAAAAAACACTTTAAATTCTTAAATTGGACTTAGTTGACTGAATTTGTTTCTTTCCTCATATTCAATTTTTTTTCGTAAATAATTATCTTTATATATTGCTTGAAATTTGCTTATTTCCCTTGAGACCATATCCTAGAGATGTTTCAGTGTCAGTACAAAGAGACCTACCTCATTCTTTTTAACTACGAAATGTTATTTCATTCAATACAATAATTTATTTAACTAGCATCCTAAGGAAAGAGGGTTAAGTGGTATCACACATTTTTCCCTAAACAAGTACAACAGCAGCTCACATCCTTGGGAAGCACCATTTCTGCATCGAACTCAAGTGCCTGGTGCTTTCCCCTCACCTTTTTCAGCTCTCTTCTCAATTCCTCATTGAGAAATAAATCAGGGCCCACCAGACCCAGCAGGGAACATAACTTAAACTCAGGTTTGGCTTCCTGCTATCAGAAGTTGTAGGTCAGGGTGGGTGATGGGTATTGAGGAGGGCACCTTTTGGGATGAGCCCTGGGTGTTGTATGGAAACCAATTTGACAATAAACTTCATATACTGAAAAAAAAAAAAAAAAGAAGTTGTAGGTCAAAGTTACTGGAAATTTTCAGTGGCCCGGTCATCCTCATAATCATCATAATTGTGCTTACTATGGTGCCAGGCATGGAGTTATACCTTCATCTATATTTCCTCATTGAATGGTTGGGAAATACCTGGCTGGCTCAGAGCAATTAAGCAGGATTAATTAATTATATACTGGGAGACTCACGCAAATCCCCCTCCCAAAATGGGTTTCCTAACAACCTGAGTTTCCCTAGCCATCCTTTCAGGGTGTGCCTCCCACAAGGAACAAAAATCAATATATCAGCCTCTACCATTATCTCTCCACATACTTTAGAGTTGCCTAATAGACACAAAATCAAGTCGGTTTCTCTGGGGCCCTCCCAATTATCCAGGGTTCTATAGCAAAGCAATCTCCTTTGCTGCAATAGGTCTAAACTGTAGCTTCAGGGTGTTAACTCTGGGGATGCAGACCATGGTTACTAAAAGACTTTATATATCCTTCGTTGCTTGCCCACATGGCTATGACATGCCCTAGACATGAGGCAATACAACGTTTTAAATAAGAAACACTCTAGGGGCGCCTGGGTGGCTTGGTCGGTTAAGCGTCCGACGTCGGCTCAGGTCATGATCTCACGGTCTGTGAGTTCGAGCCCCGTGTCGGGCTCTGTGCTGACCGCTCAGAGCCTGGAGCCTGTTTCAGATTCTGTGTCTCCCTCTCTCTCTGCCCCTCCTGCATTCATGCTCTGTCTCTGTCTCAAAAATAAATAAACGTTAAAAAAAAAAAAGGAACACTCTAGCAGGATTTAAAAATAATTTATTATTACTTATTGATAGCATCAAACTAAAATGATTAAATACATGCATTAGAAGTTACTGTGGCAAATGCTTTTCATCAGTTGGTTTACATTAACATTAATTATGAATTATTCCAAGCAATTTGGATTTGGGGTTTATTTTCTTCCTGTATGCGTATTAATTTTTTATCCCAACTATTTTGATGCTCTTCATTAAGATAAATTCTTTTTTGTTGTTGCTGTCATTCTTGTATTCCAAAAGACAAGGCTCCAGAGAATAAATATAAATAAAAGTGGACTAGTGCCTTATTCATTGTAGTAGTTACCATCTTGAGGTACCAATTTCTGTATTAGTTGTGTTAACAGCAGCTATAACAATTTCAAAGTCTATGCTGGCTTGATGTATTAGAATTTATTTCTTACTCGTGTCACTTGTAAGCAGTAGTGTGGGATTGGAGTGGTGGTTCCGTTCTATACATTCATTCAGGATCCAGGGCTGTGGCAGGGTCTACCATCTGTACCACGAGGTCTGCTAGGGCTTAGACGTCCAGGAAAAGAGAGAAAAAGATATATCAGAGGTTTTTTGGACCAGGCCCACAAGTGGAGTACATCACACATGCCCTCATTCCACTGGGAAGAATTTGTTCATTGGCAACCCCTATAAATTTGATGAAATGAAAGCAGTCTCCAAAATTCTGTATACCGACTACAACTACATCTACTCAAATGTTCACAGGAAAATAAAATATTGTAGAAAAAGTGCTAATAATTTAAAAACAGTTATAATGATGATCATTTAATGGTTGCCTGAGATGGGCTAGGCGAAGTGCTAACAGGTTTACACATAGTGTCTCTGATGCTTATCCTGTAAGACAGATGTTACCTGTAGCAGACAGAGTTAGTTGCTAACAGATCTCAGCAGAGAAAACGGATCCCAACCCCATTCCCACACAAAATCACGAGTTGATGGGGCCAAATACGGCCAATGAGACAAGAGAAAGTGAGCCAGGGACCTTGTGAGAAAGAGTTTCTTTCATATAAAAGAGCCTTATAAGGAGAAAGTCCCATTGCCCCCAACTCCTTGCTTTTCTGCTCTGGACATGATTATGTGAGGTAATGTTTTTGAGCTAAGTGGCCATCTCGGGGTCATGATCTGACTAGCCTAATAATGAAAAAACAATATATTCAAGATGATAAAGAAAAAGTAAGTAAGTAGATAGATAGATAATAAATTAATTAATTAATTAATTTAGAAAAAGAGAGCTTGGACCCTTGATGATGTTGTTAATCTGCTACATCACTTCTGCAGTAGCTTATCTTTAGACTTCTTTTTAAGTGATATAATTTACTGTCTTTATTGCTTAAGCCACATTTGGTTGAGTGTTCTGTATTTCAGTTGAAGATAATCCCAAACTTTATCTTTTCTTTATAGGCCTCATAGTGAGCTCATAAGAAGCAGTACTGAGATATAAAACCAGGTTGTTCTAGCTCTGAGATCCAAGAATTTTATACCACAATACAGTGAAATCAAGGCACTGCCCCCTGCCCCCATCACCCCACATATATGCTGTAGTAAAGGAATGAGAGAATTTGTGATTTTGCTGCAAGTTATTTGTTACACACACACACACCACACACACACACACACACGTGTGCTTTCAGCAGCCATAACCAACAAAAGTCATTTGCCTCTCATTCCTTGTGACTCTTATGTACCGATCAACTTCCCTCGTTAATTTGACAAAAGATTTTTTTTTTAATTTTTTTTTTCAACATTTATTTATTTTTTGGGACAGAGAGAGACAGAGCATGAACGGGGAAGGGGCAGAGAGAGAGGGAGACACAGAATCGGAAACAGGCTCCAGGCTCTGAGCCATCAGCCCAGAGCCCGATGCGGGGCTCGAACTCACGGACCGCGAGATCGTGACCTGGCTGAAGTCGGACGCTCAACCGACTGCGCCACCCAGGCGCCCCAACAAAAGATTTTTCTACTGTAGGTGTTTACAAAATGTCTATAAATATTATTCCCTCTTGGCCTGTCTCTTGATACAGAGCTCTTCTAGGTAGATGTTTGGGGAAGGAGTGGTATCCCCCAAATATGTGTTTTTCTGGGTTTGTTTCTGACTGCGTGAAAAAAATCACTTGGTTTCATCAAGTTCAATGAATTGTACTTGAACCTTTATTTTATCCAATGTATTAAATCACTATATACATGTTTGGGTTTGAAAGTATACCTTGTCCAATGCAGTCCTTTATTTCCATTTGAAATCCCCCAGCTGTTTGCTTTAAAAAGTAAACAGTTTGATAGAAATCTAAAATGGTGGCAGCTCTTTCTGCCCATGGATCCTGTCCTCTTGCTTTAATAAAAACATATTTTTGCACTGAAAAAGAAAAAGGAAAAGAAATCTAAGATAGTAACAAGAAGTACATAATTGAAAACTGTCTGTACTGCCAAAATCACCTTCAGACAGACTCCTACCCACTTTGTGTCTGTGTAACACATTTTTCACTTTTCATCTTCTTCGTGCTACATAAAACAAACTTCCTCCCTCTGGTTACAGGGCTCTGTGACACAGGTCTCTTTTGTTCCCATTTAATATCTACTCCCACTTAACTAGAACACAAGAGGTGAGAGGCGTAGAGACCAGAACATCATGTAGAGAAGATATTATGTTGTTCATCTAGAAAAGAAAAAAAAAAAGAACACTTTGTTATTTAAGTCCAATGTCTTAACCTCAAGGAGATCTATTGGAGGAGCCCATCTAAGATTAGAAACTGCGTGGGGTATTTTGGACCTATGCAATCAAACACCATGTGACGAGCTTCTATACATCTTCTGCTGCTACCTGTTGTAGCAGAGAAGCCACGGGAGAGGTGAATTCCCCACCCATAAAAACATGTACTACTCCTTAGAGGAGCAATCAAGCTCCTGTAACCAGTCTGCAAAAGCGGAATGCATGTGTGAACTTTCTGAGTCTCTCCTCTAAATCCAGGGAGTTAACATGTACCCTCAGTCCAAAGTCTAAAATTGTAAAATAGAAAGACATGATTTCAATTTTTACCTTATGCACTGGTCAATGAAACCAAATCATACAGAAGGAGAGAGAAAAACACAGCTCTTACAGGTTGAAACAAAGCGCCTCAGAAAGAATCGGTGCAAAAGAATCCAACCTAAAAATTTGGGCACTCGGCTTCTAGTTCCTGCTCCTTAACTCACAGGCATTGCATCCTTCGGGAAAACATTTAACTTTTCTGACTAGTCTCCATGTTCTCGTATGTCAAACGATGGTTGTGATAATAACAGGTTCATACTAGGCTTCGTGGTTATAAGCTGCTTTTACACACTTTGATGTAAGAACTCTGTGAAGTCGGTGAGACAAACATTATTATCCCCATTTTAGAGATGAGGAATTCAGGGAGTTTAAGTGAGTTGGCTGGAGTTCATGCAACTGCTAAACTGTAAGGCAATATTCAAATGTAGGTCTTCTAAGTCTGAAACCAATGACCTTTCTCGCAAGCCCTAAAGAACAGGAAGATCCCCAACATGATTCAAAACCTATGATGCTATAATCAAAATTCCAAGAAAGTAAGACTGAATTATTTGTGTGTATATACAGACATGAGGTCCTTGGTTTTCATTTTCTTTTTCTTACCTGTTTCATTCTTAGGACAGAAGGCCAAAGAAGTGAAGTGAGAATAAGCTGACTTCAGAAGTAAGAGAAGGGACTAGGTAATTACACAGAAAGAAGAGAGAGAGAGTAATGACATGTTTAGGACACAATGAGGGAGCTGCTGAATGCTTCCAAATAAAGAATTTTTATGAGTCAAGTAATTATTTTATTCCAGTAAATCAATCTCCTTTTTCTTCCTTGTGAAAGATGTCTTAAGTATTTAATGAAAGGATTTTTTTTGTTTAATTTCCCCCCCACACCCCCGCTATTCCATCACCAGCAATTTTATCATCTCAAAAGAAAATCCTGCTTTGAATTGAGCTGTGCGACAAAAGCAGTTACTATTACAAAATTTTTCCTCCTTCAGTCATCATCCTTTTGGGATATGCAAAACTGCTGCCTATTCTGAGAGAAAGACCCAGTAAGTGAGATTTGTGACAGTTACGGGATGAAGGGGCTTATAGAACTTATTTCCTTCGTGAACTTACTTGATCTTTTTATATATAAATATAAAAATTCTAAAATGACTTTGAGGCAGCTTGGAGTAAAAGACACACAATTAAGCCATTACAACTGAAATTAAAACAGCCTTTATGTTTCTCTCTATCTTCATTTCTAAGGGAAAGTTAAAGTGATGGCATGTCACTTCCAAAAGCAAATAATAGTAGGAACATATATTTCATTTTAAATACAATTTTTCTTTAATTTGAAAGAGAGAGAGAGAGCATGCACGCAAGTTGGGAGAGGGGCAGAGGGAGGGAGAGAGAGAGAGAGAGAGAAAGAGAGAGAGAGAACCCCAAGCAGTCTCCATGCTCAGTGCAAACCCATAGTGGGGCTTAATCCCACGACCCTGGATCTACCCTGAGCCAAAATCGAGTCAGACACTCACTCAACTGACTGAGCCACCCAGGCACACCTTAAATACAAATTTTAAACTGTATTAAATACAAATTTAATTAAATTTGCTACATCAAATTAAATTAACTAAATACAAATGTAAACTGTATTATTACTTGTTTTACTAACAGTCTACTGGTATGATTGAATAAGCAATTGAAAGCAAATAAGGGTTTTGTTTCTCTGATACCAGCATTTATGTCACCAACTTTATAAAAAAAAAGTAGTAAGTACCTAATTGCAAAAGTCAAAATCCTTAAGGATTATAATTTCTTTAAAAGTTGAATAGACCTGGTCCTTATCATCATGGAACTCAAAACGTCTTATGGGAACCAGAATAGGAACATGAAACCAACCCTAAATTGGATAGCAAAATACTTAAGATAGGTCAAATGAGATGATGGCATCCCTACCATGGTCATCAGGGAAGGCTTTGTAGATGAGCTTTGTTTTTAGCAGCTTTTTAAATAAGGGGAAAGAATGGCTAAGTAGGTTTCTAATATTTATAACACCTTACAAAATAGGCAATATTATCCCCACTTTACCCATAAGGAAACAGATTGAAAGGCCTTCAGTACCTTGTGTAAAATCATGCAGTCAAGAGCCAGCATTCAAACCAAGATACGACTAACCCTATTGCCATTTTTATAACTATATATACAAATGTCTCCAGGGTAGAGAAGACCACTGTTAACTACTAATTGACCCCAAACTGGTAATTTTATTAGAAAGTTGAATGGCCCTGGGGAAAGAGTCTACATTTGGTCAACAAATATTTATTGAACACTTAAATTATTCTAGGTACCACTCAGGTGCCAGAAATAACTGTGAACTGAGACAAGAATGGGACAAGAGAGAAAAGGAAGGAGGGAAGGAACTGATAAGGAAAGGAAAAAGACAGCCATGGTGTGCCTGAGCTGGAAATCTTGATTAAAGGTCCATGTGTGACTTCTGAAACACTAAAGAAGTCCTTCTTCCAGCAATCACTTGACTTTGGCACCTTCCCTGGATCATGAACTTTTCCTGCCCTCTCTCTATATCCACTCCAACCCCACTATCCAACTATCAGGGGAAAGATCAAAGTTACAATCTGGTCTTTCATTGGTTGTAATTAAAGCATTAGTTCATCTTCCTCCTACATAGATTACCACTTTAGTAGGGCCCTATGAAAATGGAAAAGCCACATAAAAAGACCCAGAGGAATGAAGTTGTTAAAATAAAAGAGGGACAATGGAACACATATTTGCGGAAAGGGATGCTCGATCCCTCAAATCACTCCAATTGGATAGCATTCTAATCTTAATATAAATGTTACTGCTTGTAACAAAAGAGCTTACTCTGCTCTTTGACCAAAGGAATACAGTTATAAAAGAAGATCATCTTTTTTTCTGAGTACAGGATTCAATTTGGATTAGTTTGATTCAACAAACATTTATTGAGTCGTACTCTGTTAGACATTATTAGGCATAGGAAACATAGAGGTGAGTAAAGTGCCTGTCTTCAAGAAGATGTCTATAGAGACCGGCCAATAAACCAAAAATCATATGAGAGGCCCTAATGATATACCACTACACATCCGCCAGAATGGCCAGAATTAAAAAGTCTCATAGCAACAAATATTGATGAAGATGTGAAGCAAAACTTTTTGGTGAGC